TGTAGTAACGCGTCACGAATTCACATGATAGTCGAGCAAAACCCTTGGTGATCGAAGTGAAATAAAAATGTGGTCAGCAGTCAGACCTTGTAGGTGAGTTGGTAGAGGCATCAGGTAGGGAACCTGATTATCGCTGGTTCGAATCCGGCCAGTGTCTAAATTTCCATTTCACCTTCAATCATCACCCAGTACAAATTCTGTAATTACTAGTGAATTGCTTTGTGGAGTGAATTTCTTGAATTTATACTAAAAAAGTTTGCAGGAGTATCCATTATGGTAACACGTCGCGTTAGATGTTTGTGTTTCAACTTAGTAGTCAATGGCTAGATGATCGTTGTTTTTATGGAGATCCTGTTGCAAAGCAAAATAGAGCTGTTTTGTCCTTCTTGGTTTTGTGATTATTCGGTTGGCATTACATGATTGAAATCATCTTGAAAGTAAGATTTCTTAACTGACTTTTGTATCCTTATTTTCATGTAACTGTGGTTTATTGATGGAGATATTAGATTTTCAATCTATGGGTCATTGTTTCAAGCCTCCTTTCATATATAGAAGCCTAGGTTGCAAAACATTAGCAGTTGTCTCCACACAGTAGGTATATAGCTCATTGCCTACTTCAAAAGCGTGCTCTTGGTTGCTTACTTACATTTCATTCTCGTTTCGTACTTGGTTCTTTGACACCTTTAGAATTCGAACGCTCCTACTGATCTTCATTTTTCAAATCCTCTCACCGTCCATACATTTTAGGTTTGAATTCACCATTCACTGACATCAGTTTGGGGAACATTTTAAACCTGGGAGCACTGGACATCTGTTTCGTCCTAGTACGTGACTTCTCAGCAGTGCGCACCCATGACTCCTACACACTGGGGATCGGACCCAGGACCTTCAGGTTCCATAGTCAGCAACTTACCATTGTGCTACTAGGTCGGAATTCATTGGTCCATGTTCCCCACTTCTGTCAGTTTACGGTATAGAGCGGCCTCCATCCAATGCTGTCGTTGAGTAACTGTCCTTACGTTCGATTTGGTTGGCCCCATTTGGTCACGACTTCTCATTGTAACCCCCATACATTCGTTTACTTTGGTAGCTATCTTTTTCTTTTCACTTGGTCTTTGCATGCTGCTATAAACTGTGACAGATTTATCCGGTGAACTTCTGTGCAACGTTCTGTGTGGATTTTGTCTGTCTGTCTGCTTAACTTTGTGTGTGTGTCGACGATTAGTATTTGATTTTGATGGTACAAGTTTCTCTTGAAATCAGATTTATTCGTTGGGTGGGCTAGAAGATTCATGAGTGCTCCTCTATATACACTTTCTATTCGAGTATATTTTAATCTGAACTCACTCAAATTCATATGTGCAAAACATTTTTCCTCTCAATTAGTTGTCATGTTCGATAATAAAAAAAGTGGCTTTCAAAATGGAGTAGAGAAGCGACATTTACTGTTGGTTACCTTTATAGATTTTTCCTTTCAAGATGAAACCTTACAAATAAGTATGTAGGAAGCCTGTAGGCTAAATATGCCTAATTCAATGTTATACAATCACATCTGTGGTAGAATTACTTCTGGAAACTGTTTCCCATTAAAGCTGTTCATTAGCATAGTGAAATGTTACTACTGAACTACACCATTAGTTAGAGAAATCACTTACTCTGTTTTTGCAAAATTTCCCCAGCCAGATAAAAATGATCTAGAAACAAGATGGCTGTTTATCTTTTTTCTGATGAAGCTTATCATCTGTGAATCATGAAAAATTTACATAATAGAGCTGAACTGTTCAGATCAACTGAATCTTCAAAGCAGTATGTTTTTCTTGCAGCTTGTTCGGTAGTATATTTCTTAAGCTCGTAACAATCGGTTGGGTGATTTCCAATGGTGACCCCATGTTGGGTTGTTGAAAAACGATTTACAACTGTGACAAACATCAATACAGACCGTGTAGTTTGTAATCGGTTTGAAAATCCAAAGCGTTATTAGTTCGACATATTGCTGTTATACATTAAACAGTGAATAGAAAAGAGCATAGAATGGCAGTCAACTTTCTACCTCAAATTCATCGATTTTGATAAGGCCTTCGATAGCGTCGACCGAGAAGTAATTTGGCGACTGTTTCAACACTACGGTTTTAGTACCACAAACCTTCATCAACCTCATTCAACAGCTATATGTAGACGCCACATGCCTAGTGATTCTCAGTATAAAGCTCAGTGATGCCTTTGAAGTGAAGACAGGTTGACAGATAAGACAAGGCTGCCACCTACTATCACCGATCATCTTCCTGATTGTGGTCGACTGGATTGGATCATGCAATCATGCAAGAAACTGTGAGAAGATGGGCGTACGCTGGCTGGACTGGTGAGAAGATCCCAGAAGAAGATTTGGATTTCGCTGCCAATGATGATTTATGTCTAATGTCTTGTGTCGCACAAACTCGAAGATGTACAGGTGAAAACCAACAAGTTCGCAGAAGAGGCAGGGCAGCAAAGACGGGACTTCTTTCAGGTGAGCGTAGAGAAGATAGAGGTGATGAAGATACCCAACCAACAACAAACACAAATCACCATGAACGGGAGAAACCTAAAGGAAGTAGTCTCTTTCACTAACCTACCTAGACAACATCGTTTCAACTACAGGTGGGACAGATGAGGATGCCAAAGCCAGGATCGGAAAAGCAGCGAGACAGGCATCCCTTCATTAATCTGTAATCAGTGTGAAGATCTACTGCACTCAGCATAAAGCGTGAACAAGATTTGGATTTTCAACACTAATTCAGTCAAGTAAGTCATTGCTTCTATGTGATGGTTGAGAGACTTGGCGCGTTACGAAAAGCATTTTCAACAATCTTCAGTCATTCATCAGCAGCTGCCACCTACGTATACTCGGTTCTGAAGACCAGATAGATGGCCAGAAAGAATAAACAACAAGGAAATCTGGCTGACAACGAATCAACCAAGAACTCATCGCTCAACGAATATGCAGAATAAGAAAGTGGAGATGGATTGGGCATACACTGAGAAGACGGTTTGGGGACATCACGCACTAGGCCTGGCCGTCTAGTGGAAGCCAAATAGGAAACGACGAGTTGGGCATCCGAGGGTGACATGGAGGAGATGGTGTGAGGAAGAAATGAGAGCCTGTGTGCAGTCGTGGAGCCAGGTTGAAAAGACTGCAGAGAACAGAGTGAAATGGAGACGTGCTACTGAAAAGCTCTATGTTCCACTAAGAACCCAAGGGACAAAATAATAATAATATTAAGAAGTGACGAACATGATTAGTAATTTGACCGATTTAGATTGCCTTACAGTCGTTCAGATTTAAATTCAGTCTCCATCTTTGCATGAATCGTTGGACACATCTGTAGATGTAAAAGGAGATTGGTGAAGAGTTTGCTGATTTTTTTAAGCAAGACAATCGGAACTAAGACTGTAGTGAATAGCATCACAATAAAGTGATCAACTAGTAATCTTCAAGTGCTGTACATACGAAACGGGATCTTAATGTCATGTGTTTATATGCACATCCGTGTGAAAACTAATGACTCTACTTGATTGCCAAGACTTTCGGTAGGTGGGGCTGGTTTGGACTCTGTGACACTGTTATTATGAAGGATAGCATCCATCATGGACTTACAACAGTTGGCGAACCATTGAAAACCTGGGAGCACTGGGCAGCTATTTCATCCTAGTTTGGGACTCCTCAGTAGTACGCACCCACGATCCGGCTAGGGATCGAACTCAGGACCTTCAGGTCATTAAACATTCAGCCACCCTAGACTTAGGATCCCTATTAACCTTCAAATACATTATTATTATTTGCTGATACTTGTAATTCTCCGTTGTTATACTGGGTCGAGTTGAGCGACCTCTGTGGCATATGAGTGCCTATACGGTATCCTTGACATTGCTTGAATATTTATTGTTATAATTGGCTTAGAGGTGGCTTGGAGTGGAATCTAGGATGCATGTTTCGTCCCGTTTGGGACTCGTCAGCTGAATGCGCTTGGACCTCAATGAGTGATGGTGTTCCTACTCAGGCCCGAACCCGTACCCACCGCAAAAAAATTGGCTGCTGTGTAGCAGTGGCCTAATGAATACGTCTTCCATTTGAGGCGATGAGTACGGGTTCTGAGTGTCAGTGGGAATACCATCACTCAGTGAAGTGCAGGTACATCCAGCTGACGAGTCCCAGACAGGACAAAACGTGCGTGCTGGATTCTACTGCTAGTCATCACAACTTGTGACATGTTCAAATTACACCTTTACACTGTGCGAGTCAAGACTTGTAATTGATGTTCTTTTGAACAGATTTGAAATAAAATGTTTTACTCGTTTGGAGAAATAATAAAAAGTGTAAGTTAGTAAGAATCAGTATTGTTCATAATTCTTCAATCTCCTTCATCTTTTATATCACAATCATCCTTCAATCATTTTTGTTTAGAATGCAAAATTGAGTGAAACTGTGCGTTTTAATTTAGTTACTTTTTGAGAATTTTAACAAATATATTTTTGAGATCAATGAATATTTTAATTTAGAGGTAGTATTCATCACGGATTAACATCAGTTGGGGAACCATTGCAAATCTGGAAAGATTGGTCAGCTGTTTCGTCCTGACAACTTCGTCGATTTCATTTGAACCACTGAAAACCGACCCGGTGGCTGAATGGTTAACACGTTAGCCGTGAAACCTGAAGGTCCTGGGTTCGATCCCTAGCCAGATCGTGGATGCGTACTGCTGAGGAGTCTTATACTAGGATGAAATAGCTACCCACTGCTCCCGGGTTTTCAATGGTCCCCCAAATGACGTCAGTCCGTGATGAATACTATCTTTAACAAATATGTAGATGAATTCATCTAATTTTTGTACACTTTGATACAATACCTTTTATCTTATCGAATGGTTTGAATAAACTCATATTTTTCTTTTGACTGACTAATGTGTATACTGTTGAGATATATCTCAGATGTTTGTGGTGATTATCATGTTCCATGGTTTTAGATCGTTTTATGTATCCAAAGGGGCCAGGATTAGGTGCAGCTCAAATGTTATGGAATACTAAATCAGTTTTTCATATTGGTACTTTGTCGAGTATTGATTTTTGGGAACCGAACGCTTATTCTCAGGTCATACCATTAGTTTCTGATCGTTGTTCAGAAGTTCGTGACAGTATACTCCGAGAATGTGTGCTGCATCTTCCTATTCCTTTAAAGATACAATCTGAACCGACAGTTGGTTTGATGGGTAGTGCAGGAAATCAGCAGAGAATTGATAAACAGATGATCGAAAAATCAGTGGGTGATACCGAAATAAGCAGTCGCTTACCAAAGAAACGCCGTTTCAAACCATTATTTTATATGCATTCAAGGTTTGTCTAGTTTTTTCTAACATTCCGTTTTCTTGTTAGATTTACTTTGTTAACGGTCAATAAGCGCTTGTAATGTAATGTTATTGCATAGCATTATTCGATAGACTACTTGTTGTGTGTTTTTCATGTTAGCAAAACAGGTTTGAATTTCTATCACAACAATTAAAAGTAAATAACTTACACCGACTAATCACGTTTCTACTTCCGCTTCATATTCTTGATTCAACCAGTAGGTTATGAGTTTAAACCGTGATCTACACCTACCGAGGCTTGAGTAGCCAGGACCTGTCTTCAGCCCTCAGATAGTGAGTACCTGTCATCACCTAGTAGACGAAGGTGTAGGTCGCTGTTAAGTTTTACGGGCATCAGCCATATCGTGACTCGATGGTTCAATGGATAACTCTCTGGCGTTTGAAGCGATTGGTTCCGAGTTCGAGTCCCAGCGCGGCAACATCGCTCGCTGGGAGGCATGTACACCCAGTTGAAGAGTTCCAAAGTAGGAGGAAACGCCCATCTTGGATTCCACTACTAGCCAATATCCATCATTAATATCAGCCGTAGCTGTCTGAAAGACATAAAATCATAAAGTCCAAAGTTTACCTTCTAAAAGTCAACGCAGATCAGTATGAAACACTAAGGTATTCTAGTGTCAACAATTCATGACGAAAATAATGAGGTGCGTGGGTTTGAGTAGCCTGATTTTGTAGAGTTACACTAATGACATAAAAAAACTGAATTATTGACTGCCAGCTCTCCTAAAAATCTAATTAGTATCATACGCTCATATAAAACATCTGCGACTTAAGCCTAATGATACGGTTTTGTATTTGCAGAAATATACGACCTTCAGAATATGTACCTCTGATCCTTTTTACAAATTAAAATCATGATGCTTGTAATTCCCCGTACCCCAGTGGCTTAGTGGCTAACGCTCTGGCGTTCGAAGCGATGGAGGAAACACACGTCCAGGATTCCTCTGCTAGGCATTATGATCAAAGTAAAACCAAATTGGAAGCTTCCGTCTTAATTGTCTGCATATTTCGATTTGTCAGTACTGAAAGTTGAATGACTAATAAGACATCTATGGTTTTACAAGTTTATGCCTTAGAACGATACATCAAGTCTTGTGAAAAGAGCCTACTTCTAAGATTAATCGGGCCATAAGATTTTCAAGAAGTGAAGTGCAATGAAATCCTATGACAAGGTCAACCTACCGGAATTTTGTGCTAAAATCAAAAACCAGGTAGGAAAAACTGATTATTGCTTAAAGTGAAGAAGAAAAATATTGTTATCAGTATTAGAAAGAAAAGGAAGTTGGATAGGGAGAGGAAGTCTAGTCACTACCCTATTTCACCTTCTAAACTGTTTTATTGAATAACTTCATCATTTGTCACTATTTTGTCAGACCATATTTCTTTCATATGACATCATGGTCCATTAAATAGACTGGTTTCTCAAAATATAGGTCACTCGGAATTCTCCACTATTTCTAGGTCAGTGTAGAGCTGACTACCTACCATCAGGTCATGAATTCGAACCCTGCTCCATCTACTAAGATTTGGTCAGCTGGGTACTATCATTAGCCTTGACACAATAGGTGTGACTCATTGTCTACTGCATGGATGTGAACAAGGTGACTGAATGCGATTCGTTTCGTTTAGTGTCAGTAAGTATCACACTTATGAATACTATTTTGGTCTTCATTATTGTCTTAATTCCAACCATTTTACGCTTTGTTTTGTGTAAGGATAAACTTGACAAAATTTAGACACGTAGCACTTCACAATAATATCATATTGTTTACGTCAGTATATTGATCTAACAAATTTGTTACAAATCGTGATAAATGCACGTGTGTACATCTATTTAGCTAGTTCAGTGTTGATATTCTATGTGGATTTTAAGTAACATGTAAAAGTTGTCATTGAAATATTATAACCAGTGTTTTTTGATATTGGAGTTGATTATTGTTTTCGGTAGAAATCATGTAAGAACACTATTCAGCCTATTTCAGTATTGATTTTATATGGTTGGAGGCAGTCTGTGGGAAGCCCTGAACACCTAGGTTCTTTGGCGCTCATCAGCAAAGCGTATTTGTAATCTTGAAGGGATTAATGTCTCTTCAGACATTCTAACCCATGTCATCCAGTAGTATAGTCAAAGATATTACTGCTGACATATTAGGGTCACCAGATAGTCACTGTAAGGCCGCTGACGCATATCTATAATCGTTACACCTACGTAACTGGGTGTTCTGGAACGGAAAACGTCTGATTTCAATTCTAACAACTGTGCAGGGGAACGGAAATGGCTCTGATGGATACGTTGCATACTCGGTGACTGATGGGTTCCTTGGGACGAGATTGTATTCGTCAGAATAAGGTGGCGTATGTTGAGCTCTCATAGCAAGACGTAGAGCGGTTACTGTGTTGCAGTACTTGCTTGAAACTATTGTTTACTACTATATCATGTAGGTAGTCTAGGCTGTATGGAGAAATGTAGGTCCCCTTGATGGAATTGCGATACATTTCTATACCAGATTCAACATTTTTAGAGTTAGCTTCTTGTTTTTCCAGTGTATCACATGTGTCAAATCCTGTGGATAGTATTTTTCCAGTAACTACACATAACCTTATTTATAGTGTTTGCTTTATCATTTGGGTGATTGATGTAAGAAGACACTAGTATTTGAGCACTAACAGCTTGCCGATGTTCAGTCTTGTCGAATTTCAGACAGAGACAGACAAAATCAACATAGAACCTCTCACACAGGTGCATTTGTTCAAGTTGTCACACTTCACAGTAGTATACAAAGAACAAGTGAATGGGAGTGATATCAATTTGAACAAAGGTGTACGGGAGGATGGGATGATTCCTGTCGTCTTAATTGGCCCAGCCAGGCAGTCTACACCTCCCTACACTACTCAGACCAACACTTATCGAATGTTCCTTAATGTTCAGAAGTGATATGGGAGATAAAATCCTCCAAGTAGTCTTAGCAATCTCATGTCAACTTATGACTGTACATTTTTTGCTTTCTTAAACATGATACGTTGTTTTGAGGAACTATAACCTGCCAAGAAATAATTTATCTACGGTGTTATTCTGTGCTTTTTTGTATGTCGATATTATTAACATCGGTTGTAATCACCCTTGTTCATTGTCTATATTGTTTCCATTATGTTTCAGTCTTTATTGTACATCGATGCCGTTAACTGATGCCGAAGATCAGGGAAGTCCAGGTGATGGACTCATTATACATCCAAGCAGACGTGGTCTTTTCGTTTTACATGTTTCTGGAAATTTCCCTCCTACTCATAGTTTAAATTTACTAGAAAAATGTCTAGACACATTTGATTTTGTATAGGGATTGTAAGCTGAGGGAAAGCTGCTGGAGTGTTTATTGGTTCTAACTGTTGAATTTTAAATGTATGATGTAATGTATTCTTTCTATAACTCTGTGTGTGTGTGTGTTTGTGTGTATGTGTGTAACAATATCATTTTAAAACAGGTCTCAGTTTTAGGAAGTAATCAAAAGGCTCTAATATATAAAATACTTTCCTTTCACAAGCGCGAATGAAGCAAGAGGAACATTAGTACCACAACCAGCATCCATGTATTTCATCAAGTTTCTTCAGCTGCTTTAAAACTGACGGAATATACAATGCTGTTCTGCTTCATTGAAGCAGTTACTATTAAAAGACTCAAGCCTGACATCTTGCCTTACCTTAGTAACTTTAATCTCCTGGGTTTATGATTACTAGATTTCACAACTTAATGACTCCTAGTTTTTCTCTTTCGATGTTTCAAAACATACACTCACTTTCTGATTTTTGTTTATCTTATTACTCAATGTGATGGAAATCTCTTGACCTTTTACTACGCTTACTTAGTCATTATGTCATTTCTTACCAAGTTGAGGATAATATTGCCTATAACCCCTTCCCAATTTCTCCTGTCATCTCTAAAGTGTTCATTTCATCATTGGTTTCAGGTTGTTATTCATCGTGGACCGACATCAGTTGGGGAAACAATGGACACCTATTTCGTCCTAGTACGTGACTTCTCAGCAATGCTCACTCATGATCCCTCCCCACTGAGGATCGAACCCAGGACCTTCAGGTTCCATAGTCAGCACCCTTACCATTGTGCCACTGGGTTGGAATTCATTGGTCCATGTTCCCCACTTCTGTCAGTTTACGGTATAGAGCGGCCTCCATCCAATGCTGTCGTTGAGTAACTGTCCTTACGTTCGATTTGGTTGGCCCCATTTGGTCACAACTCATTGTAACTTCAGGAATCATCTCTTGAAGCTAGTCACCAATGAGCACTGGATTATTTTAATTTTGAGGTTTATGGGGATTTATTGATTTCAGGTCGGTATTCATTATGGACTGGCATCAGTTGGAGGAACACTAGAAACCTGGAAGCACTGGATAGCTGCTTCATCCTAGTATGGGACTCCTCAGCAGTGCGCATTGTCATTGTATAAATAATTAACCTTTGAGTAGTCCTAACAACTTCACCAGATTTGATCGATTTCGCTTAGCCTAAATCTTTGTTATCTTCCATTTCAATCAACACAACCTTGTCAATGTCTAAAACTACGTAGGATACCTCGTTTGTATCATAAACATTTTATATTCTGTCCGTTGTAAAACAGTTAGTGCGAGTTCACGTATATGTGAATGCTGATTCTGGTACTGTTTTTCTTCCTTCGACGTATTCAGACCTAACTTTTATCAAGGTAAGTGTCTATGGTTAAAAACCCTCTCATTTCGTTTAACTGACAGTATAAGAAGATGGCAAAGGATTGAACGCAGAAGAATGTTTATGATGACACTGTGCATTACTGACGAAATATTGTACACTTTCCATTGAAATATTCATTTGCACAATGTGTTGCGTTTCCTCTTCTTCTTCTTCTTCTACCTCTTTTTGCTCTTCACACGCCGACGTTGTATCTTGGGTTTTCCGGTGCAGAATATTTACACATCGCTCTTAACTACCTATGACTTCTGCCCACCTCTCAATATTTACTACTAATATCCATTCATGTCAGTAGCACCCACTACACTCTTCCCCCCGTCAAAATTTCGGGTTTTCAGTAGTGTTGATCGCTTTGGTGCTATCTTCTCTTGGTGTTTCCTCCTTTTCCCATCGTCTCCATTTTTGAAGTAGGCTGGCGTTTACTCTTTTCTTCTTGTCCCCTTTTTTAATGGTATAAACTGAACCGCGTCTCTTGGTAACGATGTATGGTCCTTCTCACTTTGGGAACAGTCTTATTCTACCATATTCACTTCCTGACGTATATCCTCGTTCTCTACGCTTCTTTTGATCTGCGGTCTCGAAGAGTTTTCATTTACTTTTTTCTCTGTGCTCAGATTTTCCAACGTCAGCTTTCTGTTTTTGTTCCACATTTCTGGTTGCCTGGTTCCGTTCCGTTCTCAATCTTGTCATGTTCCACAGCTGTTGTTGGGGCCAGGTCTTCTATGTAATAGGAGCCGTGGTTTCCTGACATAGACTAACTGGAACGATGACTTCTTGGTTGTTCCTTGTACGGACGCACGATGCACTAACAATATTAACGACAGTTGTGCCTCCTAGTTTCCTCCTTTCGCAACCAGCCACTCCTTAAGTGTTCGGTTATTCCGTTCTATCAAACCGTTAGTCTGCAGATGAAGAAACATTAGAAACCTGGATTCCAACGCAGTGGCTAACTCAATGGTAACGTGCTGACCACGAAACCTGGATGTCCTGGGTTCATGGATGCGCACTGCTGAGGAGCCCCATACTAGGACGAAACAGATGTCCAGTGCTCCCGAGTTTCCAATGTTCCTCCAACCGCTGTTGGTCCATGATGTATACCAACTTGAAAAGACATATTTAACAAAAACTAGGCCTAAATAAGTGAAAGGAAGAACAGTAGTAGCCGACTTTAAAAATTCGGCTGTTCAGGATAATTATGACGTATTTGAAGACAGCCTATGGATTCGTTTCAGTAGAGTGAAGGTTGGAGTCTCTTTATCTACAGCCTTTGGGAGGAAAACTAACAGTTTTCGTGCATAACATAGGTTTTCCACTCCATTTAGCGCTTGGATTGCCAATTTTTAAGCTGATATAAAATCATACTCTACACGACCAACCAATCCTTTAGGTGACCAAGTAAAAACTAAAAGTGGACCGTTTTGCCCTTATTTGTTGACAAATCAGTCATGAATTTTATATTTATCTGACTTGTTTTGCAAATTGCGACATTATCTAGGTACGTTGACTACCATCAACCTTTTTCGTCTTGCTTTAATGAAGTAGAGAAATTAGACATTTTGGATTTTGTATCGGTTTCAGTTAATGTCTTTAAACGGAACAAATACTGAAACCCTCTCACTGAACAAATGTATTGATGGAAATTCACTTAGCAACCTTGTTCATATTCGTACAGTAGACAGTGAGACACATCTATTGTGTACGGGCTAATAATGCTACCTGTTTGATCAAACCTCAGTATGTGAAGCTGGATTCGAACCTATGACTCACGTTGGTTGAAAATCAACTCCCTAAATCAATGGATCACTTCTCCACAAATGTGTTGATATAAGTTGACAGATTGATTACTACTTATTAATCTTTATTATTATTAGTCCCTTGGGTTCCTAGTAGAACATAGGGCTTCAGTAGCACATATTCCAGTGCACTCTGTTCTCTGCTATCTTTTGAACATGGCTCCACGACTGCCCAGAAGCTCTCATTTCTTCTTCACACAATCCCCTCCATGTCACCCTCAGTTGGGACTCCCAACTCATCGCTTCCCATCTGGGTTCCACTCGGGGGCCTGGCACGTGATGTCCTCGAATGGTTTTCTCAGTGTATGCCCAATTCATCTCCACTTCCTTCCAGTGCATATTTGTTGGGTGACAGGTTCTTGGTTGGTTCGTTCCCAGAGTTCCTTGTTGCTTATTCTTATTATTCTGGCCATTTGATCTTCAGTAACGAGCGTGGGCGGCAGTTGTTGATAAATATCTGTAGTTTGTTGGAAATGCCTTTCTTAACGCGTCAAGTCTCTGAACCACTAATCTTTATACTAAACATATATCAAAAGATGAAGAAATGAATATGAAATTTCTAGCATAAACTGACAAAAAGAATTACAAGTGATTTTATTAATATAGGTCATTAAGTCTGTTATTGCAATGTTCATTCAACGGAAATTATACTGTCGTTCATCTACGTGCTTCCATGTTATTGAGTAGCAGTACTTGAAGGATTTATTGTGTATACTTAGTGATTTATTCATATATGTCGAAGTGAAGGTGATATTATTACGTAGATTTTGTTCAGTATGCATATATATACCTTTACATAATTAGCAAGACAGGTGTGGTGATGTTAAATGATAACACTGGTTGTTATCAGAAAGTGTATTGATTCAGTGTGTACAGAATGCTAGAAATATTATAAAAATGAGAACTTGAAAAATAACAATTGTCGCACAGAATAAATTAATTATGCATATGATTATAAACCACGCATAGTAGATTAGGTGGCACTATAGTATGAATAGGTTCCCTATGTTGTTGATTGTAATTCTTTTGGACACTATTCACAGTCACCTACTGTGTAACACTTGGAAATCGAGTCGACTGGTTGATATAGATTTTTTGTGAGCAAGATTTTGAGTCAAAGGTCCTCATAGAGAAACCTTGTGTTTCGGTGTAAGTACCGTCGCACGAATCATGATGTAGTGTGAAATACTTCTTGGTACTATGTACTGTCGAATTTATTTATAAATATTATAAATAAGATAACTTTTGTGTTGATGAATATAACTAATAATGGCCGGTGTTATTCCTGGCTAAACAATACAACTTAAATAATGATAAGGAGATATGGGGAACATTTTAAAGCTTAACTCAAAAGTTTCTGGTTCTTATGAGTATCTGTTTATGAGTGACAGCTACTCACCGAATGATTATGAAACACCTAAATCTTTGCTACGTCATAAATTCAGCTTAAATTTTTTTTGGTTTCAGTTACTTATTTCCATCGACTGGAACTAGGCCTAACTCCCTTATTGTTATTGCTTGTATTATCCCGTGGTTGATTGAACCGAATTGATGGGTCTCTATTGGCATATGGACTCCTGCATAAATACCTCGATATTGTCTGTGTTTAAAATAAAGTAATGATGGATATTGGCT